AGAGAGAGAGAGAGAGAGAGAAGAGAGAGAGAGAGAGAGAGAGAGAGAGAGAGAGAGAGAGAGAGAGAGAGAGAGAGGGGCAGGATGCACATATCTGTATGCAAAATTCTCAGGGTTTCTTACTTGAGATGTACTTTGTCTTGAACCCGCCGAATTCGAAATGCTCGAGTACCTCTTTCCCGAACCGTCACTGCTTCGATATCGATGTTGTGAACGGTTGTAGTCGTACACAGAGTTGCTAGTTTTACGTGATGATTGGTACAGAGGGTTTGGCTGGAAAACGAACACGCACACATGCACACACACGCGCGCGCACACACACACACACACATGCACACACACACGCACACACACACACACACACACACACACACACACACACACACACACACACACACACACACACACACACACACACATGTACGTGCACAACACGCACACGCACACACACGCACATGCACGCGCACACACACACACACACACACACACACACACACACACACGTGTACGTGCACAACACGCACACGCACACACACGCACACGCACACACACACGCACACACACACACATGCACATTTGTGATGAAAAGAACAATGACTATCATAGTGATCCAGTGGGTGTTCAACTGACGTGTGGTCCCAAAAACCCATTGTTACAAGCTTTCATTGGTTTAAGGTGGCTCGTACCTAAATCGAAAACTAGTCCTTTGAGCATCCTTCTGCGCAGGTTTGGAGTAGAAATATGATGAAATATTATTACTTTTGCCCTTCGCGGGTTCGAACCTCCCCGGCAAAAACTTTTTTTCTTCTTTTTCGGTAGTGGTTTTGACAAAAATAGCTTCTATAATCGACTCAAAAGGTATGTTCTGGTGGCAACAGAAACATGAAACTTGGCAGACACCTTTTCATCAATCAAAGGAACATCTTTACCAAATTTAAAGGGAATCCATAGAGCAGTTTCAATTTACTTGATGGCAGCAAGAGTACATAACCCCCAAGAGTGTGCAACTCCAGCTATGGGGTCTGCGACGGCAGAACTTCACATCACGTGATGAACCCGTACACATTATTTGCACTCTGTGCATGATAGATACAGGGTAGTATGCAGCCCAGCTTTAGGTACAACTCTCTTGTGGTCACTTTGCACTGTTTGCCAGCATAACCTTTTGAACCATGTCACGTGATGTGAAGTTCTGCCGTCGCAGCACAGCATAGAGGTTGTGCAGGCAGTTGCACACTCTTGGGGGTTATGTACTCTTGATGGCAGCAATACGTAAATTTACATCATAGATTTGGGGACAAGGGCAAGGAACTTTTGCACCAGACCGAGCTCCAGGCTCGCAAACGACGGGTGGGGGAAACATTGACGGAACTCGGGGACGCCATCCAGGTTTTTGTCGCGAAGGCCTACCCGGGGGCCCCCTCCACCATTGCTAACACAGTTTCGGTCCGGGCTGCATTGGACCCGGACATGCGACGACGGGTGGGGGACCATGAGCCAACCACACTATTAAGAGCTGTCCAGAAAGCGCTAGTGTTAGAGACGCAGGATAGGCTACATCCCATTAGTGAGCCAGTCTCCGTGGCATCCGCGGCGCCTAACGTCTAGTCACGGCTCCATAGTTTAGAAAAATTGTGTGAGACCCAAACCCGTCTCCTGGAGACTTTGTGCGAGACGAGGGGCGTTCTGGGGTCCAACCAGCGGGGTAAGGGTCCCCATTGTTTCGGTTGCGGGAATTTGGGCCGCATTAGGGCCGAGTGCCGGCAGCGGCGACCGCAGCCGCAAAGCTGCTAACAACCATTTCCACATACACGCCAGGCGCCCGAAAGACAACAGCAGGGGTCGGTTATGCTCCCCCATCCTCACAGTGATTTAAACTAGACGAGGCGGCTGGTGCGTGTCTTCCTGCCGCCTCGACCATGGAAACGCAGACAAATGAAGAATGTATTGCTGTGGCTTTGCCAATTTATGAAAATGATACCATGGATGTGTGTGACCCTTTCCTCGCTTTGCCTATGGGGGAAACCAATGATTTAGCAGCTGCGGCTGCGCCCGGCTGTCCGGACCTGTTGTCCCCGGCAACTGAGGGTGGTATTGCTGCGGTACAAGATGTAGAATGTCCTGCTAATGCTGCCTCTGTGTCTGATGCGTGTGATGTGTGTGATGTATGTGCCTTCGAGCATACACCGGCGGAAGCCCATCTCTGCACTCCACCTGCCGCTCCACTGCCCTCCCCTCCGTCTATTCCGGTCGAGTCCTCGGATGCCCTCCCGGTGGGTGCTGTCACGGCCGTCACCGATGCTTTGCCTTTTTACATCCACCGTGCTGACACCAGTCTCTTCGCGCCCGTTAAGTTAAGTATTGATGGGTGTTCTTCTGTAGTATCCTGTCGAGTTGACACGGGGGCGGCCATCACATTGGTAAATTTTGCGGTGGTGCAGAAATTGCACGCAGAGCACTTATTGCGACCTGCATCGGAGTTGGGAGTGTCAGCACTATACACGGCGGGCGGGGGAACCTTAGACATGAAGGGCTGCTTACCCCTGACATTGCAGTTTGGACACATTTCGTTCACAGCACGGGTTTTGGCAGTCGCTGGGTTAACGGAGGAGTGTTTGTTGGGGTCCGACATTTTTGGCAGCCCAAGGTTTTTCGCTGCACCTAGATGGATCACCGCGGTTAACGTTAGCAGGGCACACCGTCCCACTATCTAGGGGACGGGGGGATATAGTGCCAGTGCATTCCACCAGGTTCGGCGGTGACGTGCAAAGCACGGTGTGGTTAGGGTTTTCGACCCTGTTGCTCCTGATAGCAAGTGTTTGCGGTTCAGCTCGGCTGGTTTTAGTGTGCAAACTAGCGTTGGCTTTTACTTTTGTAATTGCATTTATTGTCCGGGGTGGGGTCACGTGGCCTGTGTGTTCCCCTACCCCGGTGGTCGCCCCCAGGGTCTGCCCCCCTCCTGCTCCGCCGGAAATTTCCTATTCTATCTCCTTAGTGTCTCCTGTAGAAATTCCCCTATGGTCGCAGTTGCTGTTGCGGGGTGCGGTCACGACACCTCCCGAGATGATTGGCCTGGTAGAGGCTGTCGTGGACTCTGATCTGGGGTATGCACTACCTCGTGCTGTTTGCTCTGTATCGCCGTCTGGTAGTGTCCCCTTGTGTCTAACCAATGTGTCTGTTGTGCCGGTGTGGTTGGAGCGTGGTATGCATCTAGGGCAGTTCCTACCGGCGGAGGACCCTCGGCCGGATGTCTCAACAGACGAGGGTGTGGCAGTGGGTGTGCAGTCAGCGACGTCCGCTTCTACCCCAGCGGATCGCTTTGATCTCTCTCTCGGTTCGCTGGCAATGCGGAACAACGCCAAGCTCTGTTGTCGCGCCGCCGCGGCCCCGACTTCCGTCTACTTCGCCATGACGGGGTCGGAGTGCTCTCTTCGGGTGACTCCGTTGCCTCCCCCGCTTTGTCCAACGACATCTACGGCAACCCCGCTGCTTGGCCGTGTGCGCCGTCGGTCTCGCCGCTCAAGACAGCGCCGCAGAGTCCGCCGGGCAGCGCAGCAGACTGTAGTAGCACCATGCATGTCACCTGAATCTCTGTCAACACTATCAGCACCTTCCTCACCTGCACCGCGGCCGGCTACGCCTCCTGGCCTGGAGGACTTCTCCGGTGTCGTTCCCTTGGTGGACATCTATTGTTGCAACGACCTCGCGTAAGCTGCATTTTTCTCTTGCATTTGAAATTTGGTTTTGTCATGACTGTTGGATGGGTGGCGTACTAACTTAGGTTGGTGCTGTTGGTGATGTTGTGAACCCTCTGGAACGAACGACCACACGGCACGAGGACAAGTCTTTTCTTTTCCACAGTTTTTTGTTGTTGCTTTTTCCGTTTTTTTCTGTCCCCTGCGTATGCATTCGTTCTCATCTCGTCCCCGTTGTACACGCATTTTTCTCGTCTTGTCTCCGTTGTATTTGTCCGGTTGCCGTCTTGTGTCCGTCGTATTTCCTCGTCGGCCGTTTTTGTCTCCCGTCCCATTCGGGACTTGTTGTACTATTCACATGCACCTCTTTCGTCTCCCTCACCCCACTTTTTCCACACTTTTTCCACGTCCCCACAATCAGTTCTCCAGTCGCCTCCTGAAGTGAAATACAAGAAAAGCTCTCTCTCAATTTGACTAGTCCGTTTGATGTGTGGCGTGGCGAGGGTATCGTAGAGGCAGCTCGTTCTCAACCCGAGACGACAAATATGTCAAAAAAGGCCCGATGACATCACCACCTTATGAGAGGGCTTACAATGATGTCACTCTATAGGCCGTCGAAGTCTGACGTCACAGCTTCTTGACAACGCGTATTTACTTGGCCAAGTGGTGACAAACAAAAGTCGCGTCACCTGTGGCACATGTGTTTGCGGTGGCAGCAGCATGCAGTGAACACAGCTACAGCATCATTTTGACTGAGGAGCGCGCGAGCAAGACTATTTATTTCAAATAAACTACTACTTGTCACCGAGTTTGTAGTTTTCGCGTTGTAGAGAAGGAAAAGCCGTAGCTGATTTTTTTTCCTTCACCACTGCTGTGCCTGTACTGTCGTTCGGCTTTACATGTAGTCGCCAGCCAAGAAGCAATGATGCGTGCCTCTGTTATTTCTACCACAGCGATCGCTGATTTCTCTTAGTCCTGAGACCAACCAACTCTGGGCTCGTTTCCTTGTCCAGCGGCAAGCGAAAATCAGAACTCCTATCTCTCAGGTGCTGGTGAACACTCAGCAGGAAAACACTGCATGGTGGATTGAGAGCGAAGGAGAAACTTCTTGAAGTAAAACAGAATTTAAAGTCGCGATCTTGCACCAGCGCGCCCCAGTCAAAGTGATGCCGTGGCCGTTGGAAACACGACAAGTGCAGGCGAAGCGAATTTTGTTTGTCACCACTTGCCCTTGTAACTATGTGTAACTACGATTTTTCAGGCAGCGTGACGTAGGCACTTCGACAGCCTATTAGTATAGTTACGCTATGCTGTCCACTAACACCACCCGTTACTAAACAATCAGCTCATGTGATAACATTGCACGACACTGACCGACTGTACTGGCGTTCTACAACTACCTGGCTAACAGCTCTAGCACATCTTGGATGCGCACTCCAACAGCCTTCCAACTTGGAAGGTTCTAAGTTATAGAAATAACATAAGGAGGGAAAGGTGAGCGCAACCAAGATAAGCACGAGCTGAAAGTCTCAGCTGTGAAGGACGTTGGCGGATGTTCATGCATGTCGATGACGATACTGGCAAGACCATTGGACAATAGTGGTGGTGTTAGTGGACAGTATAGCGTAACTTGTAGTTCCTTGGTCTTTCTCTTTTGTAAAAATTAATCCTTGGCTCTCCATCTGAGTCTAATAGTATAGTAGTATTAGTATATTTCCAATGAAGTCATCACTCCATCAAAATATTGCCAACGATGACGTCACTCTAGTAGAATATATCCAATGATGTAGCCACTCTACTATTGCCAATGACGTAGTCACTCTAAAAGAACTCAGATGGTGAGCCAAGGGAAAAAAAGATTTGTAACATGGAAATTGTGGGCACGAGTTATGCGATCGAGTCCACCAACGTGTTCCTGACTCCATGAAATTGTCTTTCTATTCTTTGACTCCATGAAATTATTGTCTTTCTATTCTTTGACTCCATGAAATTGTCTTCATATAATTTTCCTTTCCTTCTTTTGGTCCTTTCTGTCTTATACTATTATCATTTCTTGTTTTCCCTTGCATATCATCCCTTCATCGTTCTGTGAGAACCTGTCCTATTGGCAGGTGAGAAGGCATCTCTGCCTGTTCATTTGGTGAAGTAAAATAAACAACCACAACTAAACTAGATTTTGAACAGTCTGACTGTTCAAAAATCTAGATAAGTTGGTGGACTCGATCGCATAACTTGTGCCCACAATTTCCATGTTACAAAAACATAGTCACTCTATTAAACTATTGCCAATGACATAGTCACTCTATTAAACTACTGCCAATGATGTCATCACTCTATTAAAACACTGCCAATGACATCATCATGTTATTATTCTCTTACCGTCATGTCATCGACATCATCCAAAGCGTTTTGGCAGGAACGTCGCTTCTTACGGAGATTTAGCTGCAAGCGGAACTGAACACATGCCTATGTGCGTGCACGCATGCGCAAAACACGCACGCGCGTGCGCACAGACACAGGCACAGATACAGACACACCCACACACACACAGACACACAAACACACAGACACATACACACACACACACACACACACACACAGACACACAAACACACACACACACACACACACACACACACACACACACACACACACGCACACATCAATCAGTAACCAAGGAAAGACCCAGTTTTCTCTGCTGACACGCAATCACAGTAAAACCTGGTTTAAGCGACCACCCCACGGTGCAAGCAAAAGAGGTCGCTAAAGCCAGGTGGTCTTTAGAACCAGGTCCTACAGTGTATGTGTAGAACTGCGGGTGCATGGAAAAACGGTCGTTAAGAGCAGGTGGTCGCTTAACACAGAGGTCACTTACACCAGGTTTTACTGTATGAGGTGAGAGGCTGTTCTGCTCTGACTTAATATTGGAGATACTAGTTTCTCGGACTAGTTGTTTTGATATGTTTGTGCCATGGAATCAGTAGGGAGGTTTTTTTTGTAAAAAAATGCATGTTATTTCCGACGTGACGCACAATTTCACGTCAAATTTGGCTTAAAACTCCAAATTTCGACTTGAGCTTCAGGTCACTCGCATTCTTTGTCGACGCGCGAGCCAAAAAAGGCGAGCTGAACTTTTGCGTCACTTCAGAAAAAAACAAAAAAAGAAGTCATTCCTTACCTTCAGGCCTTCAAAGTTGTCGGCCTGAATCAGTGGGAACGTATTCCGTCTGTTGCTGAGAGTCGGCTGCATTAATGAGGGCTAAGACACACACACACGCATAGTGTGCAGACACACAAACACGCACAAACAAACACACGCACACACTCACACACACACACACACACACGCACACACACACACACGCATCCACACACACACACACACGCACACACACACACGCGCACATGCACACACGCACACACTCAAGCATGGACAAACTCATGCGCAAACACACATGCCCGTGCACACGTGCACACATACACACGCGCACACACACGCAGACACACACACACACACACACACACACACACACACACAAACACACACATGCGCCATAATAGTGTCATGTGAGGTGGCAAATTGCAAGCTAGAATTCAAAACTTCTACCTCTGCCAAAAGTCCACTTCTAGAGTCCTGTATGATCACGTGAATACTTTCGCGCAAAAGTTGCATGTGCTATTCAATCCTGGCACGAGATACGCATAGAAGTACGTTAGTACAATTTCTCGCCCCGGGTTGATTTCAATCCTCCTCTTGGGGTGAGGGTTGAAATCAACCCGGGGCGAAATTTCAACCCGGGCCAAGCGCAATGCGTCGTGTAAGCGCGCCAGTCAATCTGTGTTCATGGCGGTTTGAAATTTGACCCGGGTCGAACTCAAGCCGGGTTGAAACGCCTCATGTAAACACACCCACAGTCCCAGTCTTCTACTTCTTCCGTATTCAATACACTCGGACGTCTCTTATCCGGGCACCTTGGGACCGGGCACTGCCCGTATCTCGGATTTGCCCGTATCTCAGGAAAACTCATCTACCATGTATCATATCATTTTTTGAAGAAGTTTTTTTGGAATGTATTGCACATGTTTAAGATACGAAAGGAAGCCATTGATAACAATGCGTGGACTACATAGGTTGGGAGTGAAAAATAAGCACTTCCACATGCGGAAAAAAGTTCAAACCCCCCAAATTCGAAGCATTTGTGCTAGTCTTGTGGCCGCTGAGTCGACTGGTTTTGGTCTGAAAAGGCTGCGATGCAGCGTTCGGCCCTTAATCCCAATCGAATACGGTTGAGTGAGCGGTCACGTGCTCATGTGTACACCAGTCGCCTGGTCACCGTGCCTGCAGAGTACAATTTTCACATCAAGATTCAACTCAAAGGTTCAAAGCAGGGAGTCGAAAGAGGCTTTTACGACTCCCTGGTTCAAAGGTTCAACTCGAGTGACATAAACGGGCCCAAACAGGCTGTAAATGAGCACGTGACCGCTTACTCAACCGTGTTCGATTGGGAATAAGGGCCGAATGCTGCATCGCAGCCTTTTCGGACCAAAACCAGTCGACTCAGCGGCCAAAATCCAGCTTTAAAAATGCACTCCGATCGCATAATGTAGTACGATAGGATCTCATTGCTGGATTCTTGTCTATCCTTCTTTCTTCTCTTTTTCCATATTTCTTTCTTTTCTTTTCTTACCGTGGTTGGCTATCACCCCTCTCTCGCACTTTGCGTGCCAATTGGTCATGAACCACGATTTGAGTGAAACAAATAAATAAATTTGATAACCGCAATCAATAAAACTAGCTGAACCGACATTTGTGTACTTTATTCATGCAATGTAAAAGCGGTGGAGACGATGTGAAATAAAACGATGAAAATATGAAGAAATGGTGTAGGGGAAAAGTATGGATTCAAACAAGTTTTCGTACAACACTCATCAGGAATCGTCGTTGTACTAAAGGACACTGAAACAAAAATTGAACTATAATATAGAAAATCTAAGTTAGAGAAATAACACTAAGAGCAACAACAGTGAAATTTACAAGTGTGAATTTTAACAATCAAAGCGAGAAATGAACAAAGCTCTTCGTTCACTGTATTGTGCCGTGGTCGTCATGGTTATGGACTACAGTTAAAAGTGTTGGAAGCTATCTATCAGCGTCTGTACAAGCCTAATTTGTGTGTACAGAAAGATAGTATAATTGGGTTGAAATTGTTCAAGTAACGTGTCGTGTTTAGTGCGGCCAAGCTTGGCCGTTAATGTTCTAGGTGTAATGTACTGCTGTTATGTGTTATCACGTTGTCTTTCCTTCCTTTTCATCGTTTTATTGCACATCGTCTCCACCGTTTTTACATTGCATGAATAAAGTACACAAATGTCGGTTCAGCTAGTTTTATTGATTGCGGTTATCAAATTATTGTCTCCTCGCCGTGTGTTTAAATAAATAAATAAATAAAATACTACAACATATGGACCAATCGCGGTCATCCGCGCTTTTATAAGAATGAAACGGCGTTTTTAGTGACTTTTCCATACAAATCCCTATCTAGTAGGGCGCAGTCACCCAGTTTCGGTGGAAATGCGCGAGTTGGATTGGGAATAAAGGAGGAAGGGAGCGTCTCAGCTTCCTCGGACCAAGACCATTCGACTCAGCACCCCGAAGACTACAACTGGTGAAAATTTGATTTTTAGGCTATACTTCCCCTTTAAAACTCAAGCTGAAGGTGCCCGGTAGAGAGACGTGCCCGTATCTGAGGCGTCCGGATAAGAGGCGTTTTTAAAAGTGTACTTCTGAAACTGTAAAACCCTGTGTTCTACGAGTGTGAGGGGAGTGCATGTTTAGCCCGGAGATAACACAGTGGTGCGACATTTGGTGCCGTGACCAGGCCCTCCCAACTCCTGTATGTTACGAATTATTTGTATTACGACTATGATTTACGCATGTCGTTGTATTTGGTTCTTGTCTTGTGGAGTCCAGTGTCTGATGTCATATATGGTCTAGGTGCACGCGCGAGTATGGTGTGATGTGTGACGTTTATGGTATGTGGTGCATTCAAGAGTACGCGTTGTCAGAGTGTGAGGATGTGCTTCCGTCTGTGTGAGAGTGACTGTCAAGTGAATGCTGTACATGCGCAGTGCTAGTTTGGTCTGGGAATGAGAGTCGTGTGTGATTCGTCCGTGGTCTGGTTGTCTTGGTCTTGGTCATGTGTTCTGTACGTATTAGTCCCTGATGGGTCATCACGATTTGTCCTCGCAGACCTCGGTTTATTACTGCTTGTTCTTTGTTGTTTTCTTTGAGTCTTTTCCCGGGAGTCTTTCCCGTCGTTCACAAAGTTTGTCTTTCTTCCCCGTTCTCTCGCCAATCACTTGAGTACTATCGTTTATCTAAGAGAAGTATCGTGCCACCACAAATCCTTTACATTGGCGCCCAACGTGGGGCTCGAACCCACGACCCTGAGATTAAGAGCTCTGCCCGACCTGATTGTTACAGATGCCGCCCAAGAGATCGTCATCCATGCCGCCAGATAAACAGTGCTTGCCCAGTCGACTGGAGGCCCTCGAAGCCATGCGCCAATTCAATCCAGCAAGAGTAGTCTGTCGGCTGCAGCAAGGGCTCACCCAGCTGCACAGCGCAATACGCTTGCTTACCGCTGCGGTTGAACTTGCCGGGCATCTCCCGGGGGCTCAATGAGGCACGTGTACAGTCGGCCCACTGCCCTCGAAGCCATGCGCCAATTTAATTCAGTAAGAGTAGTCCGTTGGCTGCAGCAAGGGCTCGCTCAGTTGCATAGCATAACACGGTCGCTAAAAGTTGCCGTTGAGCCCGCCAGGGCATCCCCTGGTGCCGATATTTCTTTACACTCGGTTTTGGTACTAGATGACAACGGGTATTATGAGTTTTTCGCCATGATGATAACTATCCACGATGCATTCGACACATCCGGGTGGGCAATGCGTGCCTTCCCGTACCTTGACCACCATTTCTTGCACATAATTATTGTTTTCCGCATTCTGCCAGGGTCGGCAGTCGTCTTTCTAGTAAACAATGCAAAGTTACCTAAGGCTAACGAAACCATCACTGCCATGCTCTGCCTCTCCTCTTGTATTTTCCTATTCCGAGGGCTCGAGCATTCCGGGACCCAGCCAGCATGTTCTACAACATCACCGGACGTGAAGGGACAAGGTACCAAGAAGACGGACCAACAACAAGCAAGCACCGGAACACCATGACACCTCTCATTGAGGTTATGGTGGAGGACGATCTACACATTTTATAAACTAGTTTCACCATAATTCATAATTCACCATAATTCTCTCCATAGTAATCCCTATTCTCTGTAAGGAGTCGTGGTCGACTCCTCCCGTTGGGGGAGGCTGTGTTACGAAATTCGATTCGCTTATTATTTACATCCGTTGTTGTTCCTGGTCTCGCTGTCTTGTCTTGTCCGGTGTCAAATATGGTCTGCTGTCTGTACGGGAGTGATGCGGGGTGTGCAGTATATGGGTGTGATGCGTATGACGTGGTGTATGTAGTATATGCGTTGTCAGAGAGTGTGGATCTGCTTCTGCCTGAGTGAGTGCGTTTGTCTAACTAGTTGTCGCGCATGCGTGGATTATGTGGAGCATGCGCTGTGCGAGTCGAGTTCGGGTGCGAGGGAGTGGTGTGATTCGTCCACGATGTTGTTGTCTTGGTTCTAGTCACATGTATCGTACGTACTAGTCGCTCATTGGTCGTTTCGATGTGTTCGCCGTTTCTCTGTTTATAACTGTTGGTTGTTTATTATTTCGTGGTCTTTCTTCCCGCTCTCTTCGCCGTCAGTTCGTGTTTGATGAAGTATTCTTGAAACCCAAATGAGTCAGCGAACGGTTGTGTGGCGTGCGGACCAGGGGGTGGGGAGAAATTCTATAACGTTGTTGTCTCTGGTCTCGCTGTCTTGTCCTGTCCGGTGTCAAAATATGGTCTGCTGTCTGTACGGGAGTGGTGCGTGGTGTGCAGTATATGGGTGTGATGCAAATGAGGATCTTCCTGCTCCAACGGGGTCTCCAAGGACCGGCGGCTCTTGTCCTGGAGTCATTATCTGACGAAGACAGCGACGACCCTGACAAGCTGCGAGGAGCCTTGGTGGCCCGCTTCGGCGATAAGGGCAAGGAGGCAGTACGCCAGGCGGAGCTAAAGGCCAGACGACGGGGACCCAGTGAGTCGATTCCGGAATTGGGCGATGCCATCGCCATTTTACCCGCCCGTGCCTTTCCTAGGGCCTCTCGTGATATGTTGGGGGCTGCTATGCGTAAGAAGAAGGGCGTGGGGGTAGTCCAACAACAATACTACTAGCAGTACAACGACAATAATAGTTACGAACGAATAGCCTACTATAACACCCAGGACGGTCTACTCGTCGACACCCAGCATCGGTGACGAAGCGTCTGCGCTCCGTCACGAATGCCGGTGTCATCTGCTGGGCCACGCACGAGCATGCCGAGTGCTACAACATCCTGCTGCAAAGCCTCATCCGCACCGTTGCCTCATCCGCAGCGAAGAAGAACCGGTCAGCACCCAAGGCCTCCATCGCCGCAGCCGACGAGGCACCCCTGCATACAATGACTCGTGACGTAGACCGTTGTGGACCGTTGTGGCCTGTCCCCCCCTCCCCCCTTTTTGCCGCTGCACAAGAAACAGCAAGCTGCCACCTCCAAAGGCAGTCGTGGCGGAGCGCCAGAGATCAACATTGACTATTCACCCTTCCTGAAGAACGAGAGGCCCGGCAAGCCTTATACAATGGACCTTATGCCATTTGTACAGATCCACGAAATCCCGCAGAATCCCGTAGACCCGGTAGGGTATTGAATGTGCAGGACCCTATTGTGTTTTCTGCTATTTCCACTAAGAAATGGGGCCTGAAGGCATTTTCATACGAAAACCTTTTTCTGACAAAGATCTAGCTAGTCATTAGTTCTAACCAAAGTAAAGAAGCTGGAAAAGCGATTGCTGGCCATTGAATTATGACGCTAAAAAGGTCAAATGCGCATGCATAGCACACAATGAACACCCTACCGGGTCTACGGGATTCTACGGGATTTCGTGGATCTGTAAAAATGGCATAAGGTCGATTATAATTTCAGATCCCTTAGATGTTTATACTGTGCTTACCGACAAAAATACATCCATGTATGACCCGGGTGCTCGAATCAGAAACGATTTGACAGGTGTGAAATTTCTCATCTGTAAATCTCG